CATGTAAGCTTGCGTGTCAGGTAATATTCCGTGATCAAAGAAACTGTTTAGGAAAGGTTGTAAGCCAATCAAATTAGGTTTCGCTAAGTTTTAAGGAGTGCCGTGTGTTGAGTCTTTTCAGTACAAGTACACAGTCAGAGCGAGAGAGGAAAGCGAACCTTGTGATCTTAGAATAAACTTGTGAAGTTTGCGAAGAACGGCCTGTTCAGTCTTGGCATTCGCAACATTTTATAAATTTTTAATACTTTTCAAGTTGACAAGTTTAATTTGACAAGATCAGGAAATCGAAAGTTTCGGCTAAAAATGAATTTTTATAGCCTCTTTAATTAGTGCAGACCATTGAAGGAAGAAGGAGCACGTTTATATTGTATATTTGAGACGTATTAAGAAATACCTATCGAGGGATTCTTGAATTACTTTGGTTCACGCTTTTATAACCAGCCGTCTTGACTACTGTAATGGTTTATTGTTTGGCTTACCAAAGGCGCAGATCGCTAAATTACAGCGTGTACAAAACGCAGCAGCAAGACTTATTCTTGGCGTCGGAAAGTTTTCTCACATTACACCGGCGCTTTATGAGCTGCACTGGCTGCCAGTTTATTTGCGTATTGATTATAAGATTTTACTTTGACTTTTAAATGTATTTATGGCCTTGCACCAACTTATCTCATTAGTATAAAATCGAATTCATCATACAATCTTAGGCCTACTGGTAAGCTCTTATTGGACCATCCCAAGGGAAAGATGCTTCCAACATTGGGGGCCAGATCATTTTCAGCAGCAGCTCCGAAACTCTGGAATGGCCTACCTGAAGAGCTTTGTCAAGCAACATCACTTGACAGTTTTAAATCTCGACTTAAGACTTATCTTTTTAAGAAGCATTTTTATAATTTATAATTTTATTTTATTTTTATGGTGATTGTTAAGCGCTACTGATCAGAATATTTAAATATGCGCTATATAAATTGGTAAATTATTATGATTATTATGATTATTATTGTTATTGTTACTATTATTATTATTATTATTATTATACTTGAGCGGTGGTAACACGCTATTGAACTCTGTAAACAGCCGATAACATCTCTTTGCATATTCTAGGGGTTATTTCAAAAAAACTTTCATACGCTACAACAGCAACTTTACTTGTACTACATCAACTAGAATTAAATGAACAAAAAATAAGTTTAAAACAAAAAGAGTGCATGGCTGCTTGAAATAACCTCAATGGGTAGCCATCCTTAGTGATTTAAAGCGAATATTTACTTGGGTAATATAAGAAGAGAAAATAAGAAAAAAACATGCAAGAGCACACACATCCCACACACACAACACGCACACAAAGACTGATTATGCATACAGATATATAGTTAGTGAAAAATAGTTGGATGATACTGTATACTGATGAGAATAGTTATACTTTACATACAGAGTTACAGACATTCAATGATGTACTAAACTAGCTTGCAATAACGTTTGATTTGATCTTTTTCTTAAAATATTTAAGTGGCACAAACTTAATATCATCACGAATATCATTCCAGATCACTCTAGCGTTCTTTGCACTAATCAGGTGAAGTACTGTTACCCAAAACATGAAATTAATTTTTTTGTCCCCAACAAAAATGACAATGTAGTATCACATTACATTTAAAAGAACCGCGTAACGCCTCGAAGATTTTATACAAGATCGCGATGCATTCAAGCCTTTAATTATAGCTCTAACGAGCTTACCTTTACAGGAAATCGTGGCTGAAAAGCAGTTTAAAAGCCAAAGTAAATAAAGCTTCTTAACCGATTCCGGGGTCTTAAGTTTTCACTTTTAATCACCTGGACGTAGTCATTTTTACTTTATGGCAATTTATGACGCCATTGCGCATATTTTCATTGTCCCTCATTTTTCTGGCTGCTTCCGGTTTGGCCGGCTGTCGATGTCACGAGCCGGTGGTCCGGGATGTCATGGTGGGGGTGTTAGCTCTGAAGCACCATTCAAGCTCTGCTCCATCAAACCATCTTCCGTTTCCGTAGGAGGACAGTACGAAGGTGGTTCTGGTATTGTGGTGTATTCGCTCATTTCCGTTACCATATGAGCTTTGTTTTGTTGTCTAAAATCACAATGACTTCAATAGGTCCCCCCGCTTTCAGCAGTACACGAAGCTACTTGCCTCACCCCACCCCAACCCGGGTCCCTTGCTCGCCAAACAAATATTTAATTCATTGTTTTTATTAATTATTAAATTTTACCCGTTGGCAATATCAGCGATTTAATGGTTTAGAGGACGGCAGCCCTTTGAGTCAGTCCAATAGGGCACTCTGTTCTAAACACGACCCGAGCTTCAACAAAACATAATTCTTTATTGTTTGCCTCATAGCAGTATTACGCTATAATTCTTGAAATTTGAAGGTGCGCGTTCTAAATGTGCAGCCTTGATGCATCCGCTTTTATTGTGCGAGTTCTAAATGTAACAAAAAAGCAAGAAGAGTCTCAGCGTAAATTTCATGCATTTGCGGAAAATTTCATTCTTTCAACAGGTAGCCATGGGTTCTGTGGTGATTTTAATTCGCCTCATCCAAATCGTCTTAGTCCGGTGGCTTGCAGTGACGGGTGAAAGTATTTGTCGCGCAGACAAGTGTTCCTGTGCTCCTTTCGGCAACACGAGGATAAAAGTTGAATGTAACTTTACTAGGAACGTACCAAGAGGGATCCCCTCAAATACCGCAGTGCTGTAAGTTTCAGTTTAATGAAACTTTAAACACAAATCGATTACAAAAAAGAGAGAAAAAGCTACTTACATTGAAAAAAAACGAAAAACTCTAAAAACGTACTTCACTTGCAATACACTACTTATAAGATAAAATTCTTCATTAACATTTACACTACTAACAGGAGAATTGTCCATTGCTTACATACAATTAACTTGAACACATAACAACTACAAGCAAAGGGTAAAGAAGAAACTACTTATAACACTTACAATTATACAGCTTAGACATACAGGTTATTTTAGGTTGTCAGTTACCCTTATTTTAATTTAATTATTACAGTACTAAGTAATTTAATTTATAAAAAATAAGGGATAAACAAAGCTGTGGTTGTTCTTTCTTCTAGATTCGTTACTTGACAAAATATTGACTGGTTACATTACTTAACAAAGTTTTGTTCTTGAATATTACTTACACTGTTTAAACAATTTAGACATCTTTACTGAAACTTCATTAGGATAGAGATTTTTCCTCAGGAAAGCATTGACTCCTGACAACGGACTCGTTTACTGCGATGAAGAGAGGATGAAGGGTAATCGGGTCAGTCCTCCGTGTAAGACTCATTCTTAATCCCTCTTAAGCTTTTTTCTTTTACATTGCTCCCAGCTTCAAGAATCCCGAGGGTGTCTAGCAGGAGCTGACCCTGTGGCGCGAATTTAACTCAAATGGAAAGCTCAAACGCTTTTACACGCAACGAAAATGAAAACATTATGGACTGGACGGCATATCTAAATTTAGCTTGGGAAGGATTAACATGAGAATAAGGCCTATATGGGGATTAATTCTCTTAGTCTTCGTCCTGTAGTGTCTCGATATATTCTCACTTCCTTGACAATGTTGCTGCTTGCTCCTGCAGAAATCTTTCGAGATGTTCTTTGGATTCCATTTCTGAAGACTCGTTTAGAAATCTTACGTTACTGAAGAAACTGTAAGTAGAAATTATACCAAGTTATAAATGTATCGTGTCTTTAATTCATTATTTGACCCACTATGCTCCTTACCTGGCTAAACCATGGACTGAGCTAAGCGTATTATTTTAAATTGTCACGTCTTTGTGTTAACTAAGCTTTGCATACCAATTCTCTTCCAGGGACCTTTCAAGGAACTTGATTAAGTTTATTCCACCAAATACCTTCCGGAATTTGACGTCACTAAAGATAATGTAAGAAAAAGTTGACATCAAAATTTTCAATATAATAGTTTACTAATCTATCACATGTTTTTCTCGAACAATATGAAATGATAACCCGCGTTTCAAAACAATTTTGATACGAAGTTCCTTCCATTTACTGATGTATTACAGTTTAAGGACGGTGCCTACTTTTGTTAGTGCGCACACGTTCTGCGCATCACGCAAGGCATGGTTTAAGCGCGACGCGCGCCTGGATTGACATTGACACAATCAACTACGCTACCAAGTAAACGACAAAAATGAGAGCAAAATTTTCCTACTGTGAAAAAATCAAATTTAATGAACCTGTAATTAAACCAGGAGCACAAAAATAGCAGCATATCGCTAACTGTTAACGTCTTTCAGCTGAAAAACTAGCTGTTGACTGTCGAAAATTCTACTGAAATCCAACGGTAAACATGTACCTGCAGATGGCGTAGTGCGCGTGCAAAACAAGTGCGAGATATGCCAATGTTCTACTTACTTGGGGGGTGACAGGAAAAAGTGTAACGGGCACCGTAAAACTTTTCAGAAAAGATCAATAACTTTAAAAAACGCGTGGTTACCCCTACATTTTATGTTATGAAAGGGAAGTGGCAAGCCTATTCAACACGTGAATAGTTTCTGGTTGTGAGCAAAAGGTATTTAGACTGTATTTAAGCTGAACCAGAGGAAGGCTGTCAGAGACGCCAAAAGCGCTGTTGCAACGATTTTGTTATTAAAAACATACCAAAAAGGTTTTTATGCTATTATTTACCATGAAGTTTTAAGATCTTTATAAATGTGTTTGCTTTTCTGTGTGTAAAGGCGAATTCTAAGGAAATCTGTGAAGAAATATCCTTTCCTTCTTTTTCTAGAAAAATGTTGATGTCAGTATTTTGCTGCGATTCAATGCTAATTATCTCGAAAAAATGCGTGGCTACCCCTAGCCCTTGCAAAGATCTACATTTTCCGCATGGTCCTAACCTGGCGCAAAAACCTTTGTATTTAGCAGGCACCGTCCTTAATTTGAAATTAACATATAAAAAAGGGTTGTCATCAATTAATCAGAACTGTCAAGAAATCATCCAACGAATAATTTGGTTTTCAAGTAAAGAAAGGGAGCTATTAAAGTAAATTTACCCTACAACGCTTTTGCACGAGATGTTTTGTAATCCTAATTACTACTCTATTGTTTAGATTCAGTTATCAGGAATTATTTTGCCCTACAGTAGAATTTAACGCACGAGCGATCGTAAATTTTTCAGTCATATAATAAATGGTAATCGTATGATGCGAGTACAATTAACAATTCACACCACGAGTGATATTTTAAAATTGCACGAGCCCTTGGGCATGAGTAGAGTAAATCCTTAAATTGCTAGAGCTTTCATACCATTAATTATTCTAATATAAAACTGCAACAGAGTCTGAAGAACTTTAAAATGGTTCGTATAACGGAGTACTTTGTTTTAGTTTTATCTGTTTTATTAGATTCAACTTTTCCGCAGATTTTATATATAGCGCAAAAAATACAAGCCCTCTATATTGTTCGACTAAATATTAAGCTACTACTTTCCATATATGAAAAATTTCGAAGGAAAATTGCTGTATAGCAATGTTTCCCATGACGTCACGAACACTCTCACGACCTTTGTAACGCGGTGCCGTAGTTAGCAAAACGAGAGGATAACAAGAGAACTATATGGAATACGACGGTTCTTCAATTTTCCTCTATACGAAGTTTCATTCTGAAACTTGGCCGCATCACTAATTTTGAGACCTTCTTTCTAATCTTATCGATTATTTTCGATTAAGTAGAAACGTCTTGGAAATTCCACCGCAAGCAAAGGATTTCACCCGCTCGCAGGCGCTTTTACCAATCACAGCGCAGTGTTTATAAGCAAGAAACATCGCTATTTGTCTTGAGCAAAATTATTTTGCGAGGGAGTTATTTAGCTTTCTGCTGAGCTGAGAAAACATCACCGAAACGAGACGCTTTTTGCAGATTGTCATTCAGTTGCTCTTTAAATCTGCAGCTGTCGCAGTCTATTACATTTACTGATAAGCATGCTTTGTTAATACTTCTTCATCTCAGAAATTTGGAAGACAACCGCATTACTGGAGGGTTTTATCTCCCAGAAAGCGTAGAAGAGATGTGAGTTATGACATTGATATAATTGATGATATAAAGATAAATACCATACATAACAATTAATCCACGAAGTATACCTAAATCACCAAAACTTTAAAATTGCTCCTGTGAAGTATGGGAAAAAATTATCAATGAGTGCAAAAAGTCACTCATCAACTCAAGTTGTTTACTTGTACTCTTTAGGATGCTCAGTATCACGGACAGTAAAGGCTCCAAGAGTAAAAACGATGTTTTTAATAAACTGTATGGTATAACAATAACAACAACAACAACAACAAATAACTTATTTCATTGTTTACCTTTCCCTCAGTTTTCTGCGTCACAACTCGCTCCTTTCTGCTGACTTGAATCTTATTCTGAAAGGATTAAAACAGCTTCGCGTCATGTAAGTGTATATTTTTTTCCTAAAGATAAGAAAAAGAAGGGGAAGGCTGAGCGATGGAATGTGTGAGGAGAGAGAGCAATAGATGTAAGGCGGAGGCTAAAGGGCTGGGAATTTTAACAGTAAAAAAGGGGCTAATGTTGAACAAAAATAAATTAAATTATATGTGAATATTATATTTATTCAGATTTTAAACCAAAAATGATATCTTTAAGAGAGAAAACATATAATTCTGTTCGGCAAATGATATTTAGCTTGCCGGTTTCAAGCTTCGTAAAGCTCCTTGTTCACTCGTATAATTCCTTACAGGAATATCGATTGGAATGAAAGGATAGGACCAACTCTCTCGTCAGATGTTTTTGCTGGTTTTTCCAAGATGGACCACCTGTAAGTTTAGATCTCCATACGGATGCCACATGACTGCTGTGAAACTGTTGAAGAGGCAGCTAAGTTGAGCGATTTCCTATTTTTGGCATAGTTTAATGATGTGACTTTATAGTAAACGAGTGGCAGCGTTCTTGGTTTTCACGAAGTCTCTTAATTTGCCAATTTTAA